CTCTTTGCGTGTCTGGTAGAATTTGGCTGTGAACCCATCTGGACCTGGGCTTTTTTTGTGTGGTAGGCTCTTAATTGCTGCCTTGACTTCTGACCTTGTTATTGGTCTATTCATAGTTTCGGCTTCCTCCTGGGAAGGAGGACAGAAGTGTCCAGGAATTTATCCATTTCTTCCAGGTTTACTAGTTTATGTGCATAGAGTTGTTTGTAGTATTCTCTGATGATGGTTTGAATTTCTGTGGAGTCTGTGGTGATTTCCCCTTTATTGTTTTTTATTGCATCTATTTGGTTGTTCTCTCTTTTCTTTTTTATCAGTCTGGCTAGTGGTCTGTCTATTTTGTTGATCTTTTCAAAAAACCAGCTCTTGGATTTACTGATTTTTTTGAAGGGTTTTTCGTGTCTCTATCTCCTTCAGTTCTGCTCTGATCTTAGTTTTTTCTTGTCTTCTGCTAGGTTTTGAGTTTTTTTTATCTCGCTCCTCTTGCTCTTTCAATTTTGACAATAGGGTGTCAATTTTGGATCTCTCCACTCTTCTCATATGGGCACTTATTGCTATATATTTTCCTCTGGAGATGGCTTTAAATGTGTCCCAGAGATTCTGGTATGTTGTGTCTTCATTCTCATTGGTTTCAAAGAACTTCTTTATTTCTGCCTTCATTTCATTGTTTATCCAGTCAACATTCAAGAGCCAGTTGTTCAGTTTCCATGAAGCTGTGCGGTTCTGGGTTAGTTTCTGAATTCTGAGTTCTAACTTGATTGCACTATGGTCTGAAAGGCTGTTTGTTATGATTTCAGTTGTTTTTCATTTGCTGAGGAGTGCTTTACTTCCAATTATGTGGTCAATTTTAGAGTAGGTGTGATGTGGTGCTGAGAAGGATGTATATTCTGTGGATTTGGGATGGAGAGTTCTGTAAATGTCTATCAGGTTTGCTTGTTCCAGGTCTGAGTTCAAGGCCTGGATATCCTTGTTAATTTTCTGTGTGGTTGATCTGTCTAATATTGACAGTGGAGTGTTAATGTCTCCCACTATTATTGTGTGGGAGTCTAAGTCTCTTTGTAAGTCTTTAAGAACTTGCCTTATGTATCTGGATGCTCCTGTATTGGGTCCATATATATTTAGGATCATTAGCTCTTCTTGTTGTATCGATCCTTTTACCATTATGTAATGACCTCCTTTGTCTCTTTTGATCTTTGTTGCTTTAAAGTCTATTTTATCAGAGATGAGAATTGCAACTCCTGCTTTTTTTTTTTTTTTTTTTTTCTCTCCATTTGCTTAGTAAATCTTCCTCCATCCCTTTATTTTGAGCCTTTGTGTATCCTTGCATGTGAGATGGGTTTCCTGGATACAGCACACTGATGGGTTTTGGTTTTTTCTCCAAGTTGCCAGTCTGTGTCTTTTGATTGGTGCATTTAGCCCATTTACATTTAGAGTTAATATTGTTATGTGTGAATTTGATACTGCCATTTTGATGCTAGCTGGCTGTTTTGCCCGTTAGTTGATGTAGATTCTTCATTTTGTTGATGCTCTTTAGCATTTAGTGTGTTTTTTGAATGGCTGGTACTGTTTGTTCCTTTCTATGTGTAGTGCTTCTTTCAGGAGCTCTTGTAAAGCAGGCCTGGTGGTGACAAAATCTCTGAGTACTTGCTTGTTTGCAAAGGATTTTATTTTTTCTTCACTTACGAAGCTCAGTTTGGCTGGATATGTAATTCAGGGTTGAAAGTTCTTTTCTTTAAGGATGTTGAATATTGGCCCCCACTCTCTTCTGGCTTGTAGAGTTTCTGCCGAGAGATCTGCTGTGAGTCTGATGGGCTTCCCTTTGTGGGTAACCCGACCTTTCTCTCTGGCTGCCCTTAGTATTTTCTCCTTCATTTCAACCCTGGTGAATCTGACACTTATGTGCCTTGCAGTTGCTCTTCTTGCGGAGTATCTTTGTGGTGTTCTCTGTATTTCCTGGATTTGAGTGTTGGCCTGACTTGCTAGGTTGGGGAAATTTTCCTGGATAATATCCTGAAGAGTATTTTCCAGCTTGAATTCGTTCTCTTCGTCACCTTCTGGTACACCTAACAAACATAGGTTAGGTCTCTTCAGATAGTCCCACATTTCTTGGAGACTTTGTTCATTCCTTTTTGCGTTTTTTTCTCTAATCTTGGTTTCTCGTTTTATTTCATTGAGTTGATCTTCGACTTCTGATATTCTTTCTTCTGCTTGGTCAATTTGGCTGTTGAAACTTGTGCATGCTTCGCTAAGTTCTCATGTTGTGTTTTTAAGCTCCTTCAATTCATTCATATTCCTCTCTAAGTTGTCCATTCTTGTTATCATATCCTTGAATCTTTTTTCAAATCTTTTTTCAAGGTTCTTAGTTTCTTTGCATTGATTTAGAACATGGTTCTTTTAGCTCACAGAAGTTTCTCATTATCCACCTTCTGAAGTCTAATTCTGTCATTTTGTCACAGTCATTCTCTGTCCAGCCTTGTTCCCTTGCTGGTGAGGAGTTTTGGTCCTTTGTAGGAGGCGGGGTGTTCTGGTTTCGGGTGTTTTCCTCCTTTTTGCACTGGTTTCTTCCCATCTTTGTGGATTTATCCACCTGTCGTCTGAGTAGTTGCTGACTTTTTGATTGCGTCTCTGAGTGGACGCCCAAATTGTTGATGATGAGGTATTTCTGTTACTTGGTTTTCCTTCTACCAGTCTAGCCCCTCTGCTGTACAACTGCTGAGGTCCACTCCAGGCCCTGCTTGTCTGGGGTACACCTGTAGCAGCTGCAGAACAGTGAGGGATGCTACCAGTTTCTTCTGCTATCTTTGTCCCAGAATGATGCCCGCCAAATGTCAGTCTGATCAGTCCTTTTTGAGGTGACTCTTTGGATATACAGGGGTCAGGGAGCTGCTTGAGGAGATGGTCTGTACTTTATAGGAGCTCAAGTGCTGAGCTGTGAGCTCCATTGTTCATTCAGGGCTGTTAGGCTGCTATGTTTAAGTCTGCTGCAGCAGAACTCATAAAACCCCTTTCTTTCCTCAGATGCTCTGTCTTGGGGAGTTGGGGCTTTATTTATGAGTGTCCGTTGCACTATCCTGCCCAGCTAGGAGGCAGTCTAGTCACTATTTGCCTGCTGAGACTCCGCCCTGCTGATGTAGGGTCTGCCCTGTTGCTGCGGGCTCTGCCCTGCAGTCACGGTCTCCGCCCTGCTGCCACAGGCTCTGCCCTGCGGCAGAGTCTCTCTGTTATGGCGGGTTGCCTCAGCAATGGCAGGCTGCGTCAGCAATGGGAGTGTACCTCAGTAGGGGCGGATTGCCTTGGTAATGGTGGACGCCCCTCCCCCACCGAGCTGCACTGTCCTGGGTTCAGCTGTGCCCACAGTGAAACTCTCCACCCGTAGTGTTTCGAATTGCTGTTTTGTTTGTCCCTGTGGGGGTGAAACCCACCAAGCCTGCTCACCTGGCTCCCTGCCTCAGAGCACCTTTTTTTTTTTTTTTTTTAAGTTGAACGGTTGGCTCTCTCCCAGGTGTTTCAGTTGCCCACTGTTAGGGCACCGGGATCTGTGTGATTTCCCGTGCAGCGACCCACTGCGCTGGCTCAAACGCCACTTCCTAGGAATCTCCTGGTCTGGCTCACTGTCCAAGTCCCGTTTAATCAGATGGGTATGCTAATCTGCCCTCCCAAATCTCAGATTGCCAGTTTAACAGGGCACCCGGACCAGTGTGTTTTGTGCGGAGTGTTGCAGAGTGCCACTGCGCTGCAGTGCCAGCCGAAGTGGCCGCACCAGTCAAAATAGCTGCACTGGTGTCCCGTGTCTCTCCTACACCTGGGAATTTCCCCATTCTGTGGGCAAAAAAGATCCGTCTGGAAATGCAGCTTTGACTCACCCTCTGCGCGTTCACTGAGAGCTGCAATCCTGAGTTGTTCTTACCGCGCCATCTTAAATCCTCCCAGCTCTAATAAACTGTTTTAACTTTGCTTTGCATTGCGACTCCCCCTCTTTCCCACATGAGATCCAATAACTCGCTCTTGAGGTCTGGGATAAGACTCCTTTTTCCAGTAACACTATGTGAGTTCCCGGCTTCGAGGGGCATCCTGGGGGATGAAAGCTGTACATCTGGACCCTTCAGCTCTGCAATCCCAGGTGCAAGATTGGAACAGTGACCTGGTAGCATCCAGGGGCTCCTCTGATACTCTGCTGGTCTCCATCCTTCCAAGAGGACACCCCCAAAAGGCTGACCACAGGCCACAGGGGGAGGACTGGGAAGACTGTGTGTTGGTGGGGGGTGAGAATAGGGAAGAGATGGTAAACAAACACTTCCATCTTTCTCACAGTAATCTCTCAGTGACCTGGGTGGCCAAGGACCTTCAGTGGGCTCCTATAATGGGGTCAAAGCCTTTTATGGGTCAGATGTTAAAGTGTCTTTCCTTCTCAAGGCTCTCTCGGCCTCTTCAGAGCAAAGATGATCTAGGGATAGGCCAAAAGGAATACCAGCATATCCTACAGTGATTCCCAACTGAGGAGAGAGGGAGCACCTGCAAATCCTACAGGGAGTCCCAACTGAGGAGAGAGGGAGCACCAGCAAACCCTACAAGGAGTCCCAACTGAGGAGAGAGGGAGCACCAGCGAATCCTACAGGGAGTCCCAACTGAGGAGAGAGGGAGCACCAGCAAACCCTACAGGGAGTCCCAACTGAGGAGAGAGCACCAGCAAATCCTACAGGGAGCCCCAACTGAGGAGAGAGGGAGCACCAGCAAACCCTACAGGGAGTCCCAACTGAGGAGAGAGCACCAGCAAATCCTACAGGGAGCCCCAACTGAGGAGAGAGGGAGCACCAGCAAACCCTACAAGGAGTCCCAACTGAGGAGAGAGGGAGCACCAGCAAACCCTACAAGGAGTCCCAACTGAGGAGAGAGGGAGCACCAGCAAACCCTACAAGGAGTCCCAACTGAGGAGAGAGGGAGCACCAGCAAATCCTACAGGGTGCCCAACTGAAGTGTGAAGGATGGAAAGAAAGGGAGCCCACCTGAGTGTGGGGCTGAGCCCCATATGAACACCAAACAGCCAGGCTCCATCCTTCTGTCATGGCCAGTGTCCCCCCTTGCAGGATAGACCCACAAGGCCGTATCCTAGAGGCGACAGGAGGCGGCAAAGTCTGGAAGAGAGGCCTGTGGAATTGGGAATCAGGCCAAGTGTTTATCTCATGCAAAGCAGCTCCCTGGAAACCTCCAGGGGAGAAGAGATTCAAAACACACAAACTGAACCCTCCAGGCTCTAGGCATCCTCGGCCTGCAGCTGCTGGGGGAATGAAAAGTGCCTCCTTTCTCTCCTTTCCCCTGTACTATTAGCAAGGAGCCACACACACAGAAAGGCCTCATTCACAAGCTCCAAGGCTTGGCCCTCTACAGAAAGCTTTCTGAAAATGCAAATGTCTCAGAAGTGTATTCTTTTCAAACACTTATAGTGGCATGTTCCCATGGAGCTGTGAAGCAGACCAAGAGTTCCCTGGGCAGGAGGCTCTTTAAAAATAACATTTGCATTTCAAAGAAGCAGAACTTCCAGCTGCGAAAAGTCTGGATTGAAAATACAAGGTAGGAGCCTCTCCTCTTGGGGCTGTGCAGGTGCAAAACACCCACACTCCCTGTCTGTGCCCCGTCCCCACCTTGGCCTTGACTCCTCCATTCCTTCATTCAGTGCTAGCTTAGGAGTGACAGAAGCCCTGGGTGACTGGGGACTCACAAGACAGAGCTTTTCCCCACAGAAGCTCAAATCTAGTGAGCTGGACAAGCCTCTAATGAGTTAACTCCTTCCCCATTCCAGGGACCCTGGGCCTGCCTGTTCCCTTCACCCCATAGAACCAGAAGGTTCTGGGTTCAGCTCTCCCCAGAGGAGCAGATCCCCACTGCAGTGAAAAGCATGGGGCACCCTCTCCTCTCAGGCATCAGATAGGGTTCAAGCTGAGATAACTGAGGAAAACAGCAGACTCCTCTCCTCTCAATACCTTCCCCATTCACCACCAAGACATCACTCAGTTAAAATGTCCATTTTCCCCACCCTGATTATTCAGGATTGTATACCACATATTTGTTATCTGCTTTTTTTCCCACTTCTCAAGGAAGCTTTCCATGTAACATCCCATTTTAAACAGATGCGTGGCATTTCATCATATGACTGTTTCGTAATTGATCAAATGAGATTCTACAGAGCTTACCATAGTGCCTATGGCTGTTCAAAGCATCCTGGCCTTTACAGGGAGCGGGGATCCAGTTTAGACAATAGGGGAACTAGCTCCAACCAGCTTAGACAATAGGGGAACTCAATGGTTTATGTAACTATAAAGTTTAATGGCAGTACAGGCTTTGGGGAGAGCTTAATCTGACATTCTCTTTTCTTTCCCACTGCCCACCTCTGCCTTCTATGGTAATAGCTTCCTTCCCCTTTGGTTATAAGATGGCAGAGCCTGGAACAGAGCCAAAAGCACCCACAGGTACCATGGGACTTTGTCCACATCCAGAGAGAGTGCCCACAAGCCTACGGATTTCCCAGCATTCCAAGCGAGAGTCCTACAATTCACTCTGATTGGACCAACCTCAGGCCACATGCCCACCAATGACTGGGCCTCAGGGAACTGGAATGTGTTGACTGGCTGAGACCATCTGGGGGCCATCTAGGGGCCACCTGTGAATTGGGTTGGGATTAGCTTCCCTTGAAGTGAGTAGGTTGTGTGAGAGAAGGCAGAATATCTGAATGAAAAGTATGTTATTTTAGTAAAGAAGTGTGGGAAACCAAAATACGCCACCCAAAAATATTCTTCTTTGGCATATTTTCGGATGGCTAATCAGAGGGGCTACAGACATAGAAACAGCTCTGGAAAGCTGTGTTTTTGTGGGGAGATTTGCATCTGCTGTAGAAATCTATATTAGTGAAGTAAATTGTGGATGCAAAGAGGCTTCCTCTGAGACCTCTTTATCTGCCTTATCCAGATCCCTCAGGAGAAGGAAACCAAAAAGCTTGACACTTTTAAAGGTCTGACAGATAAACTTTTTTTTTTTTTTTGAGACAGAGTCTCACTCTGACACCGAGACTGGAGTGCAGTGGTGCGATCTCAGCTCACTGCAACCTCCACATTCCGAGCTCAAGCTAGTCTCTTGCTTCAGCCTCCCAAGTAGCTGGGATTATGGGAGTGTAACACCACATCCAGCTGATTTTTGTATTTTTAGTAGAATTTCAACATGTTGGTCAGGCTGGTCTCAAACTCCTGACCTCAGGTAATCCACCTGCCTCAACCACCCAAAGTGCTACGACTACAGTCATGAGCCACCACACCTGGTATGACAGAGAAATTTGACCACAAGCTGCCTTCTGAACTCATATTTCAGGAAGAAAGACTGAGGGTTGTCAACACACCAGACATCTACTCTTTCTGCAGGCTGTTGCTTGTGAGCCTTCAGCTGCATAAGACAGCCTTGGCTCACCATGCATCTCCTCCTCTCTCCTTCCCATAACCTATGACCACCTCTCTCGAGATGTGCCAAGCCTCTCTTCCTTTCCATATGGTATAGAAACTTCAGCCATCTGGACTTCTTTTAGTCTCATGTTTTGTGTGGCCCTATGCATATGTTCATGTTAATATATTTGTGTGCCTTTTCTCCTATTTGTCTATTGCCCATTTATCTCAACAGACTTAAAGACTCAAACCTTCAGCAGGGGAGGAAGAGATTTTCTGCACCCCAGAATCATGGAATGCTTAGAAGCTCATCAATACATGTCCCTTTTTAGTATTGATTTTTCTTTTTCTTCTTTCTCTTTTTTTTTTTTTTTTTTTTTTTTTTGAGATGGAGTCTTGCTCTGTCACCCAGGCTGGAGTGCAGTGACATAATCTTGGCTCACTGCAACCTCCACTTTTGGGGTTCAAGTGATTCTCCTGCCTCAGCCTCCCAAGTAGCTGGGATTACAGGCACACCACCACATCCGGCTAATTTTTTGTATTTTTAGTAGATGCGGGGTTTCCCCATGTTGGCCAGGCTAATCTTGAACTCTTGACCTCAGGTGATCCACCTCTCTCAGCCTTCCAAAGTGCTGGGATTATAGGAGTGAGCCACCAAGCTTGGCGGATGACAATTCTTTCTCCCCAGACTAAAATGAAAATTTAAAACCCAGTAAAACAATCCCTGAGTTTCCCGGATCAGAGAATGGCACAGAGGGCGGTATAAAAGTCCAGGAGAAAATATAAGATTTTAAATATTTATGTGTACCTTTCTTTTTATTTTGCACTGACTAAAAAATAGAGGAAAAATAAGTTAACTCACAAAATACTTTTAAAACAAAAGACAGAGGACATTAGGAAGAAGGGAAAGAAAATTAGGTCCAAAGAAAGAAAGTGAATCCAGTGATAAGATTAATACACAAAATGTTTGCCTTGAAAGTCCTTACACTTGCTAGATACGGATCGAAATGTGACTCGGCTTCCCTGCAGCCCATGCAAAGGAAAAACAAGACCAGCTGTATGTCCATTAGATAAAAACAAATCCAGTGCTCAGAAGAAGACAAATCCCGAGACCAGACAAGAATTTCTTCCAGGTGTTTCTATCCGAGGGACCTGCGTCGCGTAGTAAACAAGGCCCTAAAGCCATCTTTCCAGTAAACAAAACATGAGTATGAGGACTGATAACCTCCCTTATTTAATTCAACACATGACTCCATGTGAGTGTAAATAAAGCAATCCTACCAGGATGGAAAGCATGGGGTGGTCCAAGCAGCCATATTCAATCCAAAAATAAATGCTAATGAGGAATGGAGCACTCTCGTGTATGAATGAATGTGTGACTGCCCATGATATTATAATACAATAAGAAATATGTATTTAGTCTTCATCCCAGGTTCCCGACACAAAGTTCCTAAAACCCTTGGGATTTCTGAGCGATAGGAGTGAGAGGAGCATTTTCTGTTACTCATGATAAGCCATTTTCAACCAAGCCTGAGTTTAAGCTAAAAAACTGACTCTTGGAGGTTGGGGCTGATGGCCAGAGGAAATAGCCATGTGTTTAAAGGGCTGAAACATTCAGCTCCTCCATTCCCCCATTCCCCTATTCCTGTAACCCCCACTCCCTACTGGCTACTTCGCTATTCACCCCTACCTCCAGAGAGTGGAGAGGGGCTACAGATTGAGGTAATCACTAATAACCAAGGATTTAATCAATCATGTCTACAGAACCAGAGCCTCCATAAAAACCCCAAACAGGTCAGGTGCAGTGCCTCGTGCCTGTAATCCCAGCACTTTGGGAGGCCAAGGCAGGCGGATCACTTGAGGTCAGGACTTCAAGACCAGCCTACCCAATGTGGCAAAACCCCGTCTCTACTAAAAATACAAAAATTAGCTGGGCGTGGTAGAGTGCAACTGTAATCCCATCTACTTGGGAGATTGAGGCACGAGAATCGTTTGAACTCCTGGGGTGGAGGTTGCAGTGAGCCAAAATCATGTTGGTGTCACTGTGAATAAGTCAAAAGGTGCGCGCGCGTGTGTGTGTGCGTGTGCATGTGTGCGTGTGTGTATGTGTGTGTGCATGTGGAGGCAGTGGGTGGGTCCCCTCATAGCCCTACATAACTCTCCAGTCTTCTGTTCAGTGCAGAACAGTGGGTCCTGGAGGGAGTGGACAGCAGCCCCCTGTCTGCATCTTGCTCTGTGCTGGGTGGACCTTGGCCACCTCATCATCCTGCAGGACATCGTACTGGTCCACTGCACTGATGGTATCAGACCTAGGACTTGGTGAGGTCCCTCAGATGCTCCAAAAGTTACTTACATTCACCAATGGCCTCCTTACGGCTTCCAGTAGGAAGGAAGTGAACGGGTAGATTAAAACTCAGTGTTTTATACAAATAGATTGGACAAGGCTGGGCCCTTAAAAATAGCAATCCCAAATAGCTGCAAGATGTTTCGCTTCTTTCTTTAATATATTTTCTAATCAAAGTATGCAATAATATAAGTAGTGGTTTTTTTAGGGCGAGTAGAATAGCTTTTAAAATGGAAACAAAGCTGCCTCCTGTTTTTCCTTCCAACTCTGAGCTCCACTCCAAAAAAGCAACCACTTTTCTAATGTAAACTTGTTACTATATTGAGAAGGACGTAATCATAAGTGACCAGCTCAATACAATTTTGCTAAGTAAACACACCTATGTAAACAACACATACTTTGAACAATTCGTGTTTGAGTTTTGGGTGGTTACTTCCTGCAGCAAAATGAGATCCTCATGCACTACTTTAACTTTATTTATTTTATTATTTTTTTTATTTTTGAGACAGGGTCTTGCTCTGTCACCCAGGCTGGTGTGCAGTGGCATGATCTCGGCTCACTGCAAACTCTGCCTCCTGGGTTCAAGTGATCCTCCTGCCTCAGCCTCCTGAGTAGCTGGGATTACAGGCTAGAGATGGGGTTTCACCATGTTGGCCAGGCTGGTCTCAAATTTCTGACCTCAAGTGATGTGCCTGCCTCAGCCTCCCCA